TGTGTGTGTGTGTGTGTGTGTGTGTGTGTGTGTGTGTGTGTGTGTGTGTGTGTGTGCGTGTGTGTGTGCGTGTGTGTGTGTGTGCGTGCGAGCGGTTGTGTGAGCTCCTGTGCTGCAACATTTATGCGAGCCACACTGAATTTTGGCAAATGTCTTGCCTTTATTATTACACGGCCTTAAAAAAAAAAAAAAAAACCAAAAGGAAAACTCCCGTCAGAGAGAGTAAAATTTTTAAAGTGCGTGTGATAAAATGAATAAGCACTTAAGGCTGAGCTCACAAGAGCAGACGAAAATTAAACTAGTAAAACCAGTAAAATTCTCAAGTGGAAATAAATATATGCCATTTATATATATGTGCATACATACATATATAGCAGACAGTGTTATATTGCAAGGACTTGGTGGCTGTCATTTTTGACAAATAATCAGGAAAACTATACTAAATACGCCCATTGACGGGTTGTCAAATCGAGAAAAACTTTAAGACCTAAAGTCTAAAGTTCAAAACTCAACAAGTGATATTGATATCCTCTATATATATACATCTATGCTCCTGAGCTAAACAAGATTGTAGTAATGGTAGTAGTACTCTTGAGCAGAAGAAACTTAATGATAATCTTCATATTTTCAAAGCAATTTGATATGAATTTATATATCAATATCGAGTGACTTAGTTACTTATTACTTATTAAATAACGATCAACTAAGTTGAATAAATTAAATATATATTTACAGTAGTTAACTCAAACACATTTCAGAAAGTGCAGCATACTTCAAATTAGATTCAATAAGATAAAAACTAAATTAAATTAACTCCATACTAAATAGCCACATTAGCAGCACAGAAACATAGACTCCGAGCTGCATTTGTCTCTAGTCAAAGCATTTACAATTAATTAGTGCTGCAATGTCCTTTGTCAAAGACAATAAAACTTGCAAGAGACGAGTGCCCGTCTTTAAAAATGTATAAATTAAATAAGTAAGAGGAAACAGGCAATCAAGCTCTGAGTAACTGAAATAGTTTCATCAATACTGAAGAGAATATTTGCCGCTGTCTGAGCAGGAGAATTTCGCATTCGTGGCATGAGTTGGCGCCTGAGCGCGACACGTGGGGCAACTTGGCTAGCATAGTGCATAGCTAGTCAAGCGAATGACTTATGGCAGTCAAGGATGTAGAGAAATTGCTGCATAGAGGTGAGCCGGCGGCTCCTGCTGCAGCTGGGAGGGAGCGAATGCGAGTCGGGCGAGATGGGCCTGCTCCACTGCAAGCAAATGCAATGTCATTTGCTTGACATGGCCTTTACTGTGTGGGCGGCTTGTGGCTCGGTGGTTTAGCGGCTGGTGGCTGCTGTGAAACGCAAACCGCAATGTCCATTTAATGTAGCGGTTTCTTTTGTCTCGCTTTGCAGCGTTATAACAAATTACTTCGTTGTCTCGCTGGCAATGGCCGACATGTTGGTCGCCCTCTGTGCGATGACGTTCAACGCATCCGTGGAGCTGTCTGGCGGCAAGTGGATGTTCGGGCCGTTCATGTGCAACGTCTACAACAGTCTGGATGTCTACTTTTCCACAGCGAGCATACTGCATCTGTGCTGCATATCCGTGGACAGGTAAGTAACACCCCCCTCCCCCCCCCTCCGGGCAGCATTTAACGCAAAATAAGCACATTTGGGCGTGCGACTGAAGGCGCCTTAAATGGCGTCTCCATTAATCTTGCGGCCAGAATCTCGCTCTGGCTGCAAGAAACGATTAATTACCGTGAAAGGCGCGCACATCAAAAGCAAACATCGAGCCAGGCCGTATGATGAATGCGGCCCAAATGATTTGCACACCATTCGAATACGCCCCTAAGTCGAGTCTCCGGCCCGCCCCCCAGCACAGGCGGCAACCGTTAATTGGAGCTGTGGGCTAAGAGGAAGACGCAGCAGCTGGGACCCACAACTGGGCAACAAGAAAAAAAAAAGAAGCAACAGCAGTAGCGAATGCCCAGTGGCCAAGGAGCCTTTGTTTGTCTGCTTTAATTAATTTATATTTCGCACACCTTTCGAAGGCCCTGGCAAAACACGCAAACCCCACAAAACCCACAGAGCAGCAGGAATAACAAAAAGAACGTGCAAGAAATTGAAGCAAATTAATTAATACTTCTTCCCATCGAAATTCCTGTGAAACTTCAATAAACAAACGATTCTTATGAGTATAAATATGAGTGTGAGTGGGAGTGGGAATGTGAGTGTGAATGTGAGTGTAAGTGTGAGTGCTTCAACTGATTTTTCTCTGCCGATAAGCACAAGGCTCGAGCTGCAGCCTCTCCATCTGAGATAAGCTATTTGTATTACACGACGAATGTCTGCCCTTTGAATTGTTACATCTGATGGATTATTTTTAATTAATTATTGCCAGAGCATAAAGCTCACAATGTCTGAACATTTCCATAGGTTCATATATAAGACATTCATATAAAATCAGTGGCAAGTTTTATAAATATTATATTAATTGTGCATGAATACAGAATTAATCATTTGAATTATTTTTTTTAAGTGTATAAACTGTGTAAAAAGATGAACAACATTTATATCAAATGAGAATGCATTCAAATAAATGCACATAAAGCAATCACGCGCTGCATTGCTCTTAATATTCTCATACGCCCTGTGCAACATTGCAGTGAAAAATTTTCTTTTTTTCTTTTTTCTGTGCCACCCCACTGCAGATACTATGCGATAGTGCGCCCGTTGGAGTATCCGCTGAATATGACACATCGAACAGTGTGCTTTATGCTGGCCAATGTCTGGATACTGCCCGCCCTCATCTCGTTCACGCCCATTTTCCTGGGCTGGTACACGACGGCGGAGCATCTGCGCGAGGTCTCGCTCCATCCGGACCAATGCTCGTTTGTGGTCAACAAGGCCTACGCTCTCATCTCCAGTTCAGTGAGCTTCTGGATACCAGGCATCGTCATGCTGGTTATGTACTGGCGCATCTTTAAGTAGGTCTCCCCCCACCCGGCTGTGTGTATTGAAATTGTTTTATAACTCGAACCATTTGTGGTTCCGTCTGTTTCCAGGGAGGCTGTGCGTCAGCGCAAGGCTTTGAGCCGCACCAGCTCCAACATCCTGCTGAACAGCGTCCACATGGGCCAGACCCAGCAGCCCACCAACCTGAGCTATTTGCATCCCAGCGACTGCGACATCAGCGCCAAGGCGGCTCGCGAGGAGACCAACAGTGCCCTCAGCAATCTGGAGGTATGTTTGTAATTGTAACCGAGCCATCGATTCCAATAACTAGTGATAACAAAGGTAAAGAGAACTCGGCTCACGATTCCACTGAAGTCCCATAATATTTGTATTGTACTTCGCCATGCTCCACAAATTTTGAAAGGTATTCTTTAGGAGTTTCGCCCACAACAGTTGTGCATAGATTTGCATATAATTTTTGGAAAAATTTATTGAACACGTCTGCAACAGTCCATCGAGCCATGGCAAAGGTCAAATGCTGACTTTGCTCAAGTTTATTCTCTGCCTTTAGCGCTTTTTTATAGCTCCGCGCGAGAAAAATAAGGAAAAACGTATCGAAATTCTGTTCGCTTATTAAATTGTATTTCTAAGAACTCGAAAAAGAATATTTCGAGCAGTGTACTTAAAAGTCGCTTAAGTAGCTCTCGATACTGAAAGCGAAAAAGGCTTAAATAATTTAAGGTAGAGAACTGTTCGCCCCACAAATAACATTTTTTTATTCCTTTGATAGGCCAAGGGAATAATTTTTAAAGTCAAAGAAAAAACTTAAAATTTATTTAAATTAAATATATTTAATAAATAAATAAATATATTTAAATTAAATATATTTTTATCATTGCAAAAAATGCAAAATAAATCTATAGATTTTTAAATATATATAGAGTAAATTGAGACATCATTTGGGTGTGCTTTACATACGAGTAAATATAAATGTGGCGTTATTTTTGGTCTAACATGAGCTCATAATTCACTGGCCTTTAATGTGCTTTCATGGGCTTTCGCAGGACATGCTGCAGACAGGCACTGATGAGGACGACGATAAGGACGAGTGCGATGAACTGCGAGTGCCGTCGCCGCCACCACGCCGTCTCAGCCGCAGCAGCATCGATCTGCGTGACCTCGAGCAGGAGCGCTACGAGAAGGTCACGCACACGGACAGCGCGCCCTCGATGATGGCGCTGCAGCAGCAGCAGCTGCCTGGAGGCAGCCAGCTGCAGGCGCCGGTGCCAGTGCTCGATCCGCAAATATGGGGTGAGACGCTGGCAAAGAAGCCGCTGCCACAGCCAGCCGTGACCGCGGCAGTTGCCGCCGAGGCAGCGACGGTGCAGCAGCAGCAGAGCCTGACCAGCGGCAGCGGCAACAGCGAGCCAGAGCCGGAGTCAATGGCCTATCGCATGTTCGGGCTGAACAGCGATGAGAGCGAGACGACGGACCACTACGACACGCACCTGCCGCTGGCCGAGGACAACAAGGAGCTGAAGCGACTCATCGAGGACAACTACTTGTACTTCAAGCGGCAGACGGGCGCCGCGGGCGGCAAGTATGCCGCGCTGAGCGAGTCGGACTTCATTCGCCTCAAGTCGGGCGCCGCGGCCAGCGGGCGGAAGGCGCTGGCTGCCAGCGACTCGGAGTTTGTGCGCAGCATCGGCGAGGCGAAGGCGCCCGATCTGCCCAGCAAGGACAGGGGCTTCAATCTGATGTCGCTGCTGGCCAAGACGAAGCGCTCCAGCGCGGAGTGCTTCGCCATCGAAAAGAAGCGCCAGCAGGCCAACTCCGAGGGCTCCGGCTTCTTTCGGCGATCCCGCAATCGCAAGCTCTCGCACAGCTACAATGGCGGCGCCGGCGGCAGCGGCGGCGCCAAGGAACGCAAACTTGAGCAGCGGGCGCGGCAGCACAGCGACACCGACTCGACGCCCAACAAGCCGGACATACTGCTGGACATAAACGTGCTCAGCGAGCAGAGCGCGGCGGCAACTGCTGCGGATGGCCATGGCCTGCAGCTGATTGACTTTGGCAACGATGCAATCGTGGGCAACATGAGTGGCATCAGCGGCATCAGTGGCATCAGCGGCGATGAGCTTGCCCAGCTGGCCGATTGCTTCGCCGAGTCACCCAAGCAGCCGGCCACGCCGCCGCCGTCGCTGTCGCCGCCCGAGCTGCCCGAGCAGAGCGGCATGCTGATCGCGAGCAGCTCGGAGCTGGCCGAGATCTTTCGCTCGCTGAGCTTTCCCATGGGCGAGCAGTGCAGGTCCAGGCGTCAGGCGGCGCCGCAGCGCATGAGCACGCTGAGCGATCAGGTGTGCTCCAACTACATGATGTCCCCACCGAATACGCCGGCCGCAGCCAGCGCAGCAGCTGCCAATGCTCCCCCATCGGCGTCCATCAACGTGTACTTCCTGTCGCCGCCGCCGCACGCCGCCAACGGCTATACGCCAAGTGACACGTCCACCATATCACTGGACGTGGTCACCAATCTGGCGGTGCCGCAGCCGCAGCTGCAGCTGCAGCCGCATCCACAGCCATCCAACATCAACATATCACCCAAGCCCGAAATCATACTCGACTCGACGCTCTCGCCCGTGGACGGCGGCGATGGCCATGTCCTGGGCGAGCACAAGGACATCACGTCGCCGCTGCTGAAGCGCAAAGATAGCAACGCCGAGGCGGATGTTGGCGCTTCCGCCGGCCGACAGCGCTGCAGCATGCTCACGGGCTACGAGGGCATTCAGACAATGCGGAAGCGGCAGGCGTCCGTGGTCACTTACGATGTCAACGTTATCAACTTCACCCAGGAGCACGGCGACAGTCGCAGCTACATACCCATGGGACGCGTCTCCACCAGCTCGGCAAGTAAGTACAGGCCAGCCCATCCACGCCCCCAAATAAATATTACAATGGAGCGCCATTCAAGCGACTCGGGCATGGGCAACACTTCAGAATGGTCAGCAAAGGTCATGGTCAAGGTCATTGCGCCTGAGTGCTTATCGGAACTTGAGAACGCTTTCTCGTGCATTTCCATTGAATTATATGCGTAATTTATGTTTGACTTTATTTATGGGCGCTATCTCTTACATTTTGCCAAATTTGAAGCCCTATCTGAATGAGAATTCAGATTTTAATTCCTCATTTGCAGTTGGATTTCAGATAGCTCTATTCGAATTTAGGGTCAGTTTTACTATTATTTATATTTTAATAAATTTATAATTGAATAACTTGAAGTCGCATCTAAATTAGAATTAAAATTTATTAATTTTTGATTTTCTGTTTTATTTTTATTAAGTTACAAATTTTAGTTTAATATTTTTAATCAAGTCATTTATGTTTAAACTTATTACAAAATTTGTTTTGTTTCTGTTTTTAAGGCACTTATGTTTATACTTATTTATTATCTATAATTTACAAAATTTGAGGCCATATCAAAATAAAAATTTTAATTGTTTTAAATGTTTTTGTCATTTGCTGTTTGACTTGGAATTCGTCTATTCGGAATTGAAATTACTTTAAAGTCAGTTTGTTTATGTTTTTAACTTAATTTATTTTTAAATTATTTTTATTTTATTAAATTTTATAGACATAAATATAATTTGCATATCTGAATTAAAATTTTATTTTACTAAATCTCTTTTAATCTGCTCTTTCAATCTGCTGTTTGATTTGGGTTTTATCTATTTTATTTATTTATACAATATTTATTTTCATATTATTTAACATTTGTTGCTTTATTTATTTAATTTTCTGTTATACATATGTATATACATATACATATAATTTTTTTTATAATTTATTTTATTTTTAATAATTTAACATTTGTTTGTTATTTATTTAGTTTTTTGTTATACATATATACAAATATATATATAATTTTTTTTATAATTTTTTTTTTTAATTATTTTTTTTTTTTAATATATATTTTTTTAAATATTTTTTTAATATATATTTATTTTTTTTAATATATATTTATTTTTTTTTATTTTTTTTTTATTTATTTATTTTTTTATTTTTTTTTTTTTTTTTGTTAAATTGATCTAAATTTGCATTGTTTGTGTTTATTGCAATTGAATTTACTATAAAATAATTCACTGAGTCTATAACAATTAAAACAGGTTATTTGAAATAATCGATTTATATCATTTCAAATTACCAAACTTAACTTTAATTAGTATTACAAATTATTCACAATTTGGTATCTTCATTTGTTTACGAGTTTCTCTTATCTGCATGACAAGACAGAGACCAATTAGAAAATCCAATCGACTAGGATAAAGTTGCTTAACCGTTAATTAATTATATCTAGAAACTTGCCTCAAATTTTATTGCCAGCCGTCGCTAAGTGCTGGCAGCTTTTGAATAATTGAAATTTTAATTGTGTTAGCTTGAATATTGAAGAGTTCCTCTTCGGCGCTCTAGTGATTATTTTTGGTTAATTGCGGCCTTTGCCATGACCTGACCTAGGCCAAATATTGCCCATGCCTCACATAGAAAATACTTAGTTTGTGTGTTAGCAAATCGCTTTCTAGATCGTTAGCTGCGCGTAGCCCTAGGCGCTAATAGAAAAGGTTTGCCTACTGCCCGCCCGTACAGCACTTAATTAATTCCTAGTTTTGCACATTCGTAAATCATAAATCGCCTGGTTGACCGAGTGAGAGGCAAATGTGGCAGCTGACTTGCATTGAGTCTGAATACTTGACTTTTCGGTGGTGTTGACAGATATTCTCTCTATATGCTCTTGCTCTTCTACTATCTGTGTTACGTATGTATGTACTATTAAATCTTTCACCTCTCTTGTCCCATTTACTGTTGCATGGCACGCATGCGTCGTGTTCCTTGGCCCACAAGAATGTGTATATAACAATTACATGCTATCTATATCTATATATATGTTCCTGTCTCTTTCTCTCTCTTTCTCTCTCTCTTTCTCTTTTGTATTTACATATATATATGTGTGTGTATGTGTGTATATATATATGTTAATGAAATCATCAAATTGTGTTCAATATCCAATGTCAAAAACTCTTCCAACTCAACTTCAATTGTGAACGTCCTTCAAAATAAAAAAAAAAAAACTTCGAAACAGAGCGCGAATTTTCGAATAAATCTTCGCTAATACGACGCGGCGGCATCTGCATCTTTGTGGATGAAGACGAGGCCGAACATATTGAGCAAAAGCCGCGCGGCATTACCTTTGCCCCGGCCGCCAGCCCGCTGCCAAAGTGTCCGCTCTGTGGTGCCGACATCACCGTCGATGCCAACACCACCGCCACCGCTACCGCTAATGCTACCGCCACCACCACAACCACCACCACTACCACCACCACCAATACCACCAACGACACCAACACCTCAATCAGAGCAAGTAGTAAACGTAGTTGTCACGATCCGGCCTCAGCTACGGCTACGGCTACGGCTACGGCTTCGGCTTCGGCTCCGGGTACGCCCACGCGATCACGCTTCTGGCACAAACAATTGGCGGCGCTCACAGCGTGTTGGCAGCAGAGCAAGAACCGGAAGCAGCGCTTCAAAACCGGATGTAGTCACTGTGGTGCAGCCGGTGAGTTGTTTTGTCATCTCCGCAACACATACTGCTCATTCGTACTCCCAACCGAACCACCCTCCCATCCGCTTTCTTTCTCTCTCTCTCTCTCTCTCTCTCTCGCTCTTTCCAACTCTGCTGCTGTTGATAACTCTGTCATGCTTAATCGCCATGTATATCCTCAGCCAACACCCATTATCTATATATGTATATGTGTCATTCATTCAGCTTCTCCCCACAAACCAAGAGTCGCACAGCCACCACAACTCGGCCACACTTGTAAATACAGATCACTCTTACTCTATAAAATGTTGTACAGTCCCAATCGTTACGGTCCTTATGAAAAGGTTTCTTTCTACAATTTATTATATTATTATATTAAATGAAAAAGTCTTAGGAATAGGAGCAAGCAAATGTATAAAACAGTAAACTTGTTCGCATCTAATATCTACAGATCTAAGCTTAGCTTTAAGCAAAATCCAAATGGAACTCAAGCTCTCCCATGGCAGATAGGAATACCATAAATGGTGTTGGCAACCTGTATACAATTATTTAAGCCAATAATGCAAACTCTGAGTTCATGTAATTTCTGTCGAGCTTACTAATATTTTGTATTTCGCCTTTTGAAAAATACATTAATATTGAGCATTTAAACCTCATTATTTTGAGTATTCAGAAATACTCAATGTTGTGCAGTTAAAGCAATGTAATGCATAATCAAAGACAACGTTTACCTATATAGAATTGAACAGAAATATTGTTAAAAAAAAAAAATTAAATTAAAAATAAATAAAAACGTTCTAGTCGGGGATTCGAATTTAGCGTGACATTCTGAATAGCCCAATGGACGTAATTAGCACAATAAGTCTATGCAAAGAGCTTGCTGATCTCAGCTCCAGAGCTATAAGGACTACGACTATAAAGACAACCTAAATACGATGTATATGGAATCTGTAAAGAATATGTAAATCCAATGTTTACACACAACATCAGCTTACATTCTATATAGTTGTGCTTCGAAATATACACATATACATATATCTAAATATATGCTATTCATTATATTTCATTCAAATACCAAGTCTTTAGTTTGAGTTAATGACGCTAGCAGGTGAAGAACTCGTTGTACAAAGCTTCCATAGTCTGTGCACCCTGTGTATAATTTTAAAATATTGTCATAGATAACTAAGAGCGGTGCTTTGTATATAAGTAAGAAAATATATACTTTATACTTTTACAAAATTTAAATATCAACAGCTAAAATGAAACTAAATTCTTATACATTTAACACAAACTGGCAAATGCCGTCTTTTTCTATATTTTTTGCTTGAGGTCCTTTTCGGCGCTGCCTGATGCTGTACATAATTGCCACCGTTATGCACGTGCATTTTCTTTTGCTTTCCCGGCCAGCGTCTGCCTATTTCTTTACATTATCATTTCGGGCGATAAGGTCGTCAGCTTGTTTGCCATTTCCTGTTGCTTACCGTTTGTCTGTTTGTCCGACGGATTTTGTTTCATTTTGTTTATGTACTTTCACTTTTCAATGCTGTTTTTGTTTATGTTTCGTACGTGTGCGAATCTGTGTGTGGGTATGTGTGTGTGTGTGTGTGTATTGGTGTTTGCCTGTGTGGGTTCTTGTATCTATTCAAGCACTGTAGGATTTCAATTGTTTGCTTCGCTTTTATTACTTATTCTACACACACACACACACACACACACACACACACACATACGTAAAAACTCGATTACTCTCGTCTGGTTAAATGGCGCCGAACCAAAGTTGCCTCGCATCACTTGGGGTAAAAACTCAGTGCTGGATTGTGTTTATCATCGATACAACAACAACAAGAATAACAATAACAATAACAACAACAACAACAACAACAACAACAACGATGACAGCAACTGCGACAAGCAACTACAGCAGCAATATTAATGTCAAAGTTAAACATGAACCGTCACACATGGCACAACACGCCTTGGCATATGAGGCATTCAAAGTATTCACACACACACATACACACACACACACACGTGTAGCTAGTGAAACAACATTGAACAGAATTTGTGCAGCTGCAGCAACGGTCCCAATTCTGTGCCAAAGTTCAAATTTAGCTTATCAGCTTTGTAACTCTCATCGAAATCTCATCATCTCATCTCGACTCATCTCTCTTTATCTGACCCGAACAGGCGGCTCGGTGCGACCCGCGAAAGGTTGGAAGGCCGAGCACAAGGCCGCTCGCACTCTGGGCATCATCATGGGCGTCTTTCTGCTGTGCTGGCTGCCCTTTTTCCTATGGTAAGCAATGTCCAAGGCATTACAACTCTCCCCCTCTTCCTCTCCCTCTCACACACACACACACACAATATGTATGCGTGTTTATGTTTATATCAGGTATGTTATCACATCGCTGTGTGGCGCCGCTTGCCCCTGCCCGGATGTGGTTGTCGTGGTGCTCTTCTGGATTGGCTACTTCAACTCCACACTCAATCCGCTCATCTATGCCTATTTCAATCGGGACTTTCGCGACGCCTTCCGCAATACGCTCGAGTGCGTGCTGCCCTGCTTGGAGAAGCGCAATCCCTATAATGCCTACTATGTCTAATGCCTGGAGTCTATAAGTATCTCCGTATGCTGAATGCGGATGCCGGTGTAAGTGATATTCAATACGCTCGAAGCTAATACCAGATTAAGGCTCTACTCAAGCGCAAAAACATCTTAGTTAAGGCCCGAGAGCTAAGCAATACTCGAATGTGTGTTTATTCTGTATACGTATTTTATTTATTGTGTGTATTATACATAGTTAAGTAAGCTCTGGCTAGCTATATATCAATGACGAATGTGTGTCTATTAGCTGTATACACATAAATATATTTCTAAATATATACACATACATATATTTACGTAAATCCATGTCCCTAGCCTAAGTAAAAACGATTCTACAAATCTAAACGAAGCGAACTTCACAAGCCACTAGAAAATACGCAAGATAGAGAGAACTATAACTAAGACACGAAGCCAACAGGTCTGGTCCAGAATCGAGCTCTATAATACCTTCCCCTATAAATGCTTATGTCTATGATAAATACATATACAATATAAAACTAAGCATTCAACAATGTGTTACATTTTAAACAAACTATCAAAAAACCTAATGAAATTGCAGATCAATATTATTAATAAAAGTTCTTTGTGAAATTGAAATAGAATATAAAATGCGCAGGGTGACCATAGATAAATCAATTGTAATAAATCAAAAGCCAAGTAAGATATTACGCGAATTTCGATTCTCTTTTAAGAAGACATCCATGTTACTATTAACGGAATATCATATCATTAAAAGGCCTATCGCTGCTATCGCTTGCAGTGCTTCAAGCGTAAGGCTGAATTTCGAATGATTCTATTCTATGTGGGAGATGTTATTCTCGAATGTTCAACTTTAGCTTTGATAAAGTAGTAAACCTGTTAGCGTATAATAAGGACAACTGTTATCGATCACTTAGTCAACTGCTGAAATAAATTGATCGAAAGTAGTATTACTCTTGCTTGGTCACTTTATGGAATACCTTGTGAAAATTCGAAATAAGAAATAAGTTATGCATAATCAAACAGCTAAAAGAGAAAACAAGATCACTTTGTGTTAGACGCGTAAATGGAATAAATAAATGGAAATCGATTTCGTCATGAAACTAAAATTAGAATAAAAGTTCTTAATTTAATTGTCTGCTTAATGACAATCTGCAAAAAACAAAAAATAATAAATAAAAAATGAAAATAATAAATGAGTTATAAAGAAAATTCGAGAAAGTCAAACGTAGAGAATTGCATAATGAATATATAGCGAAAACACGTATTAAGTTAAGTTTCGTACGTATATATGGTTTCCATGTGTTTGAGTTAAAGCTACTTTTGTGATACCTGGTCAAAGGGAATTGAATCCAGTTTTTTAGTTCCATTAGTTAACAGTTAATTGCGACCTTTGGTTTAAGGCAATGCGAAAGAAATGCAATCTCGACTAATATTATATATACATATATATATATAAATATACATAAATGTACTTATTTCTATGTATTTACTTGCTGAAAACTAAATAATTGCAAATTCAATTGTGAAACTAAAGTGTTTTAAAAATATATGTATAAAAATGGAACTTGGTGCGTTTACTTCTCACAGGCAGTGTACGATTTTCATATATTTATAAATAGCCGCCAGAGAGCGCTGTCTATATAGATACATATATATAGAGTTTGCTATTTTGTTGGGTCGTGCTAATCGTGCTGGCTCATGCTAGGACAGTTTTGTTTCGAATCGCTCGCCAGATGCCGGACGCTCGCATCGAGTTCACCTCCTCGGAGCCACACGAAGGCGACGCCACCTGCGTGGCGTACTTCAACAATCAGCTCTTCTCCGGCGGAGCTGATGGCAAAATACGTGTAATTACTCAATTACTCCCCCCTGGTTAGGTTTAGTGCGTTCATCCACTCAGCTGTCGCCCCTCCGCAGGTTTGGTCAGCGTCGCTGCAGCTGCTGCGCACTCTGAACGCCCACGAAGCGTACATTTATTGCATGGCCGTAAATGAGCAGGGCAAGCTGTACTCGAGCAGCTGTGATGGCCAAGTTAAGTACACTTTGCCGCCGTATGAGGATGCTTCCGTGCAGGAGCTATTCCGCTGCGACGACGCCATTCAGGCCATGTACTGTGCCGGGCCAGTGCTCTATACGGGCGACGACAAGGGCGTGGTGACCACCTGGAGTAACGATCGCATGCTCTTCAAGTACAACCTGGTTGAGGAGGTCAAATCACTGGCCGGGGAGCAGCAGCTCATTTACACAGTGCGCGACTTGGATGTGGTTATCTCAGTCATAGTCGAGGGCAAATCGGGTAAGTATAGCAACAAGATGGTCATACCGGGCAAGTCGCCTCTCACGCTGCTCGGCCCACTGGTTGAGGAGAAAAGAACCTATTTGGCATTTCCCGATCGCACTGGCATGGGCTTGCAGCTGTTCAATAATCTGCCACAGCACAAGTTCTCCAAAGTTTGGCATTTGCCGGTAAGTCCAGCACCTCTCAAGTTCTTTGGACCGCTCTAATTGTTATCCGAATCGCAGCAATGCCATGACATGATTGTGAATAGTATATGCGGGGATGAGGATCACCTGTACTCCGGTGGCTATGATAATAAAGTCAAAGGCTGGACCGACTTGGCGGCAAAGCAGCCAACGCCACTCGGTGAAGTGGATGTGGGCAGTTGTGTGAATTCAATTTGTTGTGGCGCCGACAATTGTGTGTATATTGCAAGCAGCGATGGTTTTATACGCTGTGCCAAATTTGTTTAAATAATAATGAAAAACTATTCAGTTTGCAAATAAAATAAAATATAAAATACAATTATTTTCTGATTCAATTTAAATTAGTATTTTAACGCTCCATTGAGTGATATTGCAAGCAGCTTTTACCTGAATGCATATATTTGGCACTTTTAGTGCTGCCAGACTCTTTTAAAAAGATGTGGACACAAACGCACTAGTATTCATTTCATCATGTGGCAGCACCAGCACAATTTCTTCTGCTTCTGAAGAATTCCTTTGGGTACGGCTTTAAGCGTTGTTGTGCAGGGATCACCCGACTGCGACGATGACACATCCCGTCGCTGCAAAGGGACAACCGCGCAAGTATCCGTTCATCAACATGCGCATCGCGGATAACTCTGTGCTGGACACAATCGAGGGCCGTCACAGTTGCCGCCACTGCAATCGGTCCCGCAAATTCTTTTGCTACAATTGCTACGTCCCAGTTGGCAAATTGGTTAATCTGCTGCCAGTGGTCGAGCTGCCTTTGCAAATAGACATCATCAAGCACAAGAAGGAGATTGATGGCAAAAGCACAGCAGCGCATGCAGCAGTGTTGGCACCCCACAATGTGCGCATCCACACCTATCCCGATATACCCGATTACAGGCAGGAGGATGGAGTGGTGCTCATCTTCCCCAGTGCCACGAGTCTCACGGTGCCGCAGCTCTTCGAGCGTGACGTCCGCCTAAACATCGATGACAATTACGGCCTGCCCAAGGGCCATCACATGGGCACAATGCTGCGACGCCGCATGGATGAGGTTGTGGGTGAAACGGAAGTGATACAAAACTCCAGGTGTTATACGTTCGGCAATCTCCCCGTACGCCGTGCCGTATTCATTGACAGCACCTGGAACCAGAGTCGCAGCATCTATGCGGACGAGCGTGTGCGAGCTTTGCGCACTGTGGTACTCCAAAATCGCTTGTCCCAGTTCTGGCGGCATCAGCGTGGAAGTCCTCGTTGGTATCTCGCTACCATCGAGGCCATTCATCAGTTTGTGCTGGAGATGCACGTGAATGCATGGGGCCTCAATGCGGCATATCGAGGCTTGGACAATCTGGAGATAACCGAGGGTTTCCATCAGCTGGCAGCGCCGCTCACGGTGGTGGCGTCCACGGATTGTGAAGAACCCGAATCGCCATATAACGGGCAGTACGACAATCTGTTGTATTTCTTTGCCAATATGTATGATCTCATACACAAGTACTACGATCACAACGATCTGATATCGTATCGTCGTCCAATTTAAGCAAAAATGTATGCCAATATTTATTAAAATGGAATTTCGGTTTACTAAAGTTACTTCCATTCATATGTCTACAACTGAAGTTAGATTTATTTATTTAGCTATTGCTACAACTATTTCTTTTTCTTTTTGCCTTCTTCACTGGAATCACTTGTCACTTGCTTCTGCTCAGTGTTTACCGGCTTCTGCCACTTGAGCGGATTTTTGCGATAGATGGGCCATGGGGGAATCGTAATCTAAGCGAGTGAGAGAAAATAAGTTAGTAATTAACATAAATGGTAAGCTTGGGAGACCACTGACCAGTGAAGATATCAGGAATCCAACACCCAGTATGTAAACAGTTTGGGAGAACTGCTGCACCACGGCACCATAAATGAGACCAATTACTCCAAAGAGTGTTATGATGATACGGGACCAGCGTTCAGCTTTGGCCTGGCCAACAAAGTCCTGAGAATATTAAATGGTTTACATGACAGGAGCCGACAGAGCTATATTTCACTTACCATATGTGTTTGTATATCAAGCATTTTGAGATTTCTGACAATTTTGCACTTTATATGCGTAAACAAATTCGGTTGCGGCACGTCAGCAGTAGAATCGAAGATGTGTTCGATATAAATATGCTATCGATGTATACACGGTGCTGCCAGCTATCGAGTACAAAATATTTCTGCTTTGAATACTTAACGTACCCTACATTCATGAATTTGTTATTCATTTTAATAGGCTTGTATAGGCTTTTGGCTGTTAATTATAATCTAGTAATTTAATTATAAATATATTACTTTCATTTGCTTTGTATATGAAAAAATTCGTTAATATTCAAAGTAACCAGACTTCATGTAAAATTATTTTAAATGTATCGATTAAAATAGCGCGCCCAACAATCCCAAATAACACAAAATCGCTTATTTTAAAATGTAAATTGTTCATACTTTTATTTGTACAATGCGTAAATGGCGGCTAAAGCCGTGGACGTTATATATTAAGATCTAATAAATAAGTGGCGCGGAATGTGCTTTGTATGTATAAAATGTTAAAATAATCGTGCTGAGAAATGGTGTCTCGTTTCGTTGTCATCTTCTTCGCATTTTTAAACTCGAGCCGAGCGTGTGCGGCGCAAGTTTACAATATTGATTACACTTATTATTATCCAACCAAATAGGGTAAGCCAGGCTAGAACGAGGGTGAAGTACAAACAGGCAGCCGTGTTGATTCGTCCATAGCGACGACGCTCATATGAGATACTCTCCACCAGAAAGTCCATAAAATCAAACACAGCTGCACAGGATAAACGGGCCTTGATCACGGGCACAATGTTGCCAACGCCTTGAATTTCCTTCAGCAAGGACTCGCGATACTGTTTGCAGGTGACTTCGAATCCATCGGTAAAAATCGCTGCATAGATCAACTGGTAAATGGCCATAATGACCGATATAACCGTTGCAGGTAGCCCTAGATAAGAAAGCACGTCAATTAAACCAATCGGTGACTGGGCAGAGAGAATACCTACAGTAGTAAGGGGAGAGGCCGTCTGAAGATAGTTCGGACTCAGTGGTTACCACAACCATGTCGCCGGATCTGCAAGAGACGGAAGAGCGGAAACAAAGCAACGCATGAGTAATAAACACTTTAAAAAGTTTAATTGAATTGGTGCAAAGTCGCGCATTTGCTTCGGTCATCTTCCATTTGTGGCACCCATTAGCATAAGGCTTAATTAGGCCAGCCTTGCGAGTGTCGCAAGAAGCTGTGTCTGCCGATTAACCCGCATGACCTCCGTCTGCTTAGAATTGCGCGGCACTTACCGCTGTCTTATTGTTGTGGTGCCTGCCTTCGGTTGTCCCTTGCCGATGCACATGCGATAGCAATGATAGATGCCTAGCACCACGGCAAAGACCAGGGGCAGAAGCAATCCATAGGTGGCATAGTGGCAATATGCAATATTGCCACCTTCGAAGCTGTTGTAGGTGGTGCGGCCGTGCAGCACACAGCCGCAGTTGGTATCTGGGCAAGCGTTGAGCACATAGCGCCAATGCGTCCAGGCCACTGCTGAGGTAATGCAGCAGATCAGCGACGCCCCAATGATAAAGGGATATAAATAGGAGAGCGCTCGTTCCGCTCCGTACGACATCTTTTTAAGGAATGGGTGGGGGCTGCTAAGAAATTTAATATTAATTAAATAATTACTCTTTCAATCGCGCACACATGAAATAATTTCTTGAAATTTGTTTATTGTTTGCATTTGGTCTTTGGGCGAACTGCGCGGCTAGCTGCGAAGTCGGCGTCGCTGAGCAACGCACATCAGTGCAGGTCTTATTGCACTCTCTCTCACGCACTCCCTCTCTCACGCGCTCTTGGGGCGTCACACACAAATACAAGTGCATTTGCTGCACTGTACCAAATATAAACAAACATTTGTAATGCCGTTGCAGCCGCTGCTCAGTGTTTAATAAATTAGAAATTGTTTTTATTTTCATCAATGAAAGTATAAATAACCAAAGGCGAAACTAACAAACTTTAGCAGAAATGTAAGCTTATCGGCAGGAACAGTTTGCTGACACATACACTTACACAAGCGCACTAAGCTGACACACCTACGTCGACAGACACTATACGTTTACCGAACGACCAACCGTCTGCGCGCGCAGCAATAAAACAACTGAATCTAGTCTTGTTTTGGCTCCGATCAGAACGAGCGCTGGAACACAGAGAGAGAGAGAGAGAGAAAAAGTGAGAGTGAGCAGACACATGGCAAGAGCGCGAGAGCGGGTGAGCGTTTCTATGTATGGAGCTGCCTCATGCGTTATGAGTGAAAACCAACTTGGCAGTTCTGTTCGTTACTATTTGAAATGACGCGACATGACTAAGAAAACACCGTGTAAGAATTTGTATTTGCATAATATGAATGAAAGGTGTATGACAACAACAAAGATGCCTGATTCTTGGCCAGGCGCCATCACTTAGCCCGCCTGCCAAGCATCTGCCGGCCACAACAAATGACGCGCACATACCAGCGGCCCGTCCCATGCTGTTTCATCCTGCTCCGTACCATACATACACTGTACTGGCTGGCCGCCATGACTGGGCCATGTTCATTTTGGCAAAAACCATTTTTCGCGGACGCCTGATCTCAGTTGCATGAGCGCTGTAGAACTCTCAACTACGCGGAACAAATTCGAGTGCAAAACACCAAGCGATACAAGTAAAGCGAAATACCTAAAGTATTTGTCTAACATATAGACAAACAACTAGTCGGTAGTACTAGGACCATCCCTAGTGAAAACAAAAGTGACAATTATCCAATAAAGAGTGCTTTCAACTGTGGACGTTACCAAAGTGCATGCAATTGCTGAAATTGCAAAATTGCAGCCGCAAATAATTTTCATTGCAGACCAACAATTGCCTATAAATAGCCCATAAGGTAGAACAAATCCGTCTGCCTTCTTCCCAGAACATTATAAAATTATAAGTACTAACAAATTTCGTCTAATTTTCTACTGTACGTAAGACATGTACATGATGTCATTGTAGGAGACATCAACTATATGCTGATCTTAATTAACATAATTAATTTATAAACATCTTTAAATTCAAAGATTGTACTAAAACAACCATTAATAAATTCTAACACAAAATGGGTAAATACTATATAATATATTTAAAATCCATGCTTTGCATAGTTTTAGTACCATAGTGATGTCTAGCGATAGTTATGCACTTTGTTTTATAAATAAATCAATTTTAGAGCCATTAGAGATTATGCTTATAGTTTGTAGGGAAATCATTAATCCTATGAGTGCAATCAAGCGAAACTCATGGGGTTCAAGTTTATTTTTCATTCCTATAAATATAGTATAATAAGCACAATAAAAACGGCAGAATTCATTGAAGAATCTATTATGTTCGATTTTAATGGAAAAACTTGAAATTTATATTATCATAGGAATAATTATTTAAAGAAATTAAATTTACAAAAAATAATAATAATAATAATAATAATAATAATAATAATATATACATCTGTAAACTAAATCAATTAATTGAAAACCATTTTTTTTTATTTAAATGTATGCTAAATCATGAAAAGATAGTACTTCAGTCTACAAATTATTTTGTTTGTTCTAGCACTGCTTTTTAGTAACTCCATGTATGTTAGTTTTAGTATAATGCAATATCGAGAAGCATGTATGGCCCAGGCTATATCGAAACCAAAGAGCCATTAAGTTAAGTGTATGTTACTAGATTATATACTTAGTGTAATGATAAAATAATTGATGAATGAATGAATTCCTTGGCTTCTTATAGCAACAATAAATACACCGACACGAGCCGATGCCTGCCCATACACACGCCCATAGACAATAGATCTTAGAGTGCAAGCCCCGCAACAATCAGCCAGATTAGCGCACACACAAGTCTTTTTTAAGTATTAGAAAATCATTATGGATAATTGGAACGTTTTGGCAGCGCAAACCTCATCCCAGGCGATTGGACGAGATGAGACGGTGGTCAAGACGCGTCTGGTGAGTAACGCTGAGAAATTCCCCTCTCAACGAAAAAACATGCAGTAAACAAAACAAATTAAAACGATTGCGTAGTATGAGATGCATATAAACTTTGTATAGATTTTATGTACACAGTATATACACATATATACACACATATGTATGTGTGTTATATACAAGACTAAAGAGCTAAGTATATGGTCTACTGCCTACCCCATCAGCTGTTCATCTAGCCCAGAGTTTTTCGCTCTTCTGACCACCAAAACGCAATGATCTGCTCTAGAAATTCTTGGCATTTTGTTGTTTTGGTTGCTCTGAACATTACTAGCGCTCATCTATAAATAGGATCTCGATCGATAGTGCTTCTCTTTAGCTGCCTGGCTGCCTAGCAGCGAGTTTGTCAAATGTTTGGGGGCTTTTTGGAGATTCCTCGCAGTAGCGGCAAGTAGCCACAGCTAATTCAGAAATTCAGATAGACAGACGTTGAAGGTGCTCGGCACAAGGCGCGTTTCGCTCGCACTCGCATATTTCTTTTATATAAGCATCTATACTATATAGAGCAATGGATATTTCGACCGATATTTGGGGCCAGCTGGCCGTAGAGGCCTCCCAGGTGTACCTGTCCGATGGCACCATGCGTAGTCCCTTTGCAGATACGGTAGTTAACAGATTGGTAGAATCGATTGATCGATCAGGTTAATATATACATATGTGATTTGTCTCTCCCGCAGACAATTGAGAAGCTGCCCGACAAGGTGCTGTTGCATATATTTTCGTATCTGTCGCATCGGGAGATTTGTCGTCTGGCCCGCATCTGTCGTCGCTGGCGGAAGATCGCCTACGATACGCGTCTGTGGAAGAATGTTTCGCTGCGGCCGGAGGTCTCGGGGCTGCACGTTGGCTCTCTGGAGATGCTGCTCTCACTCATTTCGGTGCGATTTGGGCCAACGCTGCGCTACATCGAGCTGCCCATTGAGCTGATCACGCATACGGTGCTCCACGAGCTGTCGGCCAAATGCCCCAATCTAACCCACATGCTGCTGGACTTTTCAACGGGTGAGTTATGGAGTTGATTAGACAAATTTAAATTATCCTTTAATTACGTGTGTAGCCATGCAGTTGCACGACTTCAGCGAGATGCAGGCGTTTCCTACCAAGCTGCGCTACATGTGCATCTGCCTGTCGGAGGTGATCTTCATGGAGGGCTTTATGCGCAAGATCTACAACTTTATCAACGGCCTGGAAGTGCTCCACTTGGTTGGCACCTACGAGAAGTGCGAGGAGGAGGAAGAGGAAATCTATGAGGTCATCAATGTGCACAAACTTAAATCGGCTACGCCCAATTTGCGCGTGATCAATTTGTATGGCATCAATTTCATAGACGACTCGCACATTGATGCCTTCAGCTCCAATTGCATTCAGCTGGAGTGCCTGGCGGTTAACTTCTGCAACAAGGTGACCGGGTCCACGCTGAAGACTTTGGTGCAGCGCTCGAAGCGCTTGACCTGCCTGCTGATGAATGGCACCAGCTTGAAGTCAGAGTTTGTGATGCAAGTGGAATGGGATAAGTGCGCGCTGCAGGAGCTGGATATAACGGCCACCGACTTGACCACCGAGTGCCTGGTGGACATGCTGACTCGTATACCCAGTCTGAAGTTCCTCTCGGCAGGCCAAATCAATGGCTTCAATGATACCGTACTAAAGCAATGGATGGAGCAGGGCAATACCAGGTGAAAGTCATAATGCCACTTGTCACATTCAATGACTTATCAATTTACCCCATCAGATCCCTCAGCTCCTTGGACTTGGACTCCTCGGACAACATCACAGACGAGGGTATGCTCAAGTTTCTGCAGCGCCACGGTCACCAGCTGAGCGCTTGCTGTCTATCCGGCATGCCACACATTACGGATCAGCTCTGGATGAGCATACTCCCCATGTTGGGCAACTGCAAGTGAGTAGGATATTATATATTATATCGCAAATGATCAGTCAACATACTAAGATTTGATGCTACATAGAATTATCGTAATGGGTACGGCTGAGAAGCTGGGCGTCAATATACACGTGGATCAGCTGATGGACACAATTGCCACCAACTGCGGCAATCTGGAGCGTCTGGAGCTGCGCTGGGATCCGGACAACTTGCGATTCTCCGACAAGAGCCAGAAGGCAATCGATATACTGCGAGTCAAGTGTCTCAAGCTGCGCTGCATGGTCTTGAGGTATGAATGAAATCAAGCTGAAAGAATTTTGTTAATTGACCCAAATTATCTCGCAGCGATGGCCGTTACTATGAAACCGTGAAGGCCAACTTTGAGCGTGCCGATCGCACCACAGTGGTGCGCACCACCACCTGCTGTCGGGTCTCGCCATATCATCTGTTGCGTAACTACAACGACTTGATTTTCAACTAAAGACCCAGTCATAAACTCCCTGCTCAAGTATCTAATCGTTGTCAATTGTTAAACTGTTGGTATCCTAGTTATCCGTGCCAAGCAGCTATCCCCAAGGAAACAGTTGTTCCTATTGCAAATATAAGAAACAATTTTGTTCGATTTAAGGCAATTTGTATTTTGGTTAACATGTTGCATTACAAAATACTTGACATTAAGTTACATATGCATATGTTTTATATACAAATTTGATACAAATCGCTGACTTTTTATACATAATCTGCCTAACAAGTTTTGATCCAATTAGTCACTTTCACAGTGTGCCATGGCTTCACCGAAAGCAAAATCTAGGATGTTTAAATTAACTAAAAAGGTATGGGAACCCCGCTGGCCTATTTCGAGAACAACTCAAATTTCCATAGGCATTGTTGTCTAGTCAAATTAAGCTGCAATTGTTTATTGCTTACATATTGTACTGTATTTTATCCGCTTTTTCGTTTGATTAAATTAAATTAAGATAGATAGATTTGCTAATTTTAATTTCGTGTAAATTACAAAATTATTTCGCGTTTTGTTAACTAGTTTTGTTTGTATTTTTTACTTGGTACTTGATTAAATCATTTTCAGACTTCACCGCATTTATTTTTTTTCTGCTGTTTTTGATTTTCTTCTTTTTTTCTTATTTCGTTTTTGTTTAACACCATTTCACTGTTAACTTAAAACTAGCCGTTCAACATATTTGGGTCAACTTTTTACCATAAACTTAATGTACAAAGATCTGTGATTGAGTTCACGTTTCATTCGGCGTATTCATATACAAGGGTATGAACTTATATGCATTATGATTATAATTTAATTTTGTGTTGAATTGAAGCCAAACATCTTAATGCGCTTTCTAATGTATGCGTGTGCGTGTGGGTGATCAGGTGAGATGACGAGGTGTTGGTGTAGTGTATATAGAAATAGGTTCATCGAAGCAATTAATAAGCACGTTTTAGTTATGCTTAAGACTTTCGCATTCTTACATAAGTACACTAACACATAGAACAGTTTAAATCAGTAAAGATTACAAATAGTGAAAAAAAAAGTTATTCACTGCTGCTCCTGCGATAACCGAAATATGTGCGTCGTATTGCTTGCCGCAGCAGTAGCCACAGCGGCCGCCGAAGTAGCCGTTGGTGGCGGCGGCTGACCAGAAGCTGAAATATAGCTGCTGTTGCTGCTGCTGCTATGGCTGCCGCTATTGACCGCAACAGGTCGTGTCTCTGCGGCTGTTTCATTCGTCGAATTGGCTGCCGCATCATCGACATTTGACGAGGCTGAAGTTGCACTGCTCCCCGCTGCACCGTTTTCTGGAGCAGCTTCGGCTGCACGTTCGGGCGAATGCCGCGCCCCTCCAGCATTATTTGCATCCTATGGTAAATATTACAATTATCAGAACATTGAGTATAATGGTTTAAATAAGAAAGAACTTTCAGCTCCCGCCGTTGCACTCACGTCTCTAGGGTATAAGTGTATGGGCTGCTCTGCTTGCTGAGCTGCTGCTATGTCCGCTTCGCGCGTATTCTCCTCGGCTTTGTCGGTATACATCATTATTTCGTGACACAGCGGACAGCGGTCCTGTACGTAGAGCCACTTGCGCAGGCAAACGCCGTGGAAGAAGTGACGGCAACGCGTTATTTTTGCCGAGTACATTTCCTGAAAGAAGCCAATTATTTATAGATGTTGCTGAGAAACGAAACACAACCTTTGAGCTCACCTGATAACAGATGGCACAGACATCGTCAAAGGCCTGCAGCTGGGCAGGAGTTGCCTCCGGCAATGCAGATATCTTGTGGACCGCTGAGCGCCTCTTCATGAACACCGACCAGCCAGCACGTGCCTCGCACCAGATATTGAAGTACGCATGAATGCACATCATGATCGCCCTAATGGCGCCGCCTGTAGCATTTTGGGCTATCAAGTTATAATTATCGATACACAAAATCAACCAAATAATAAAATTACATGCACACGAAACAAAAAACTCTGCCACAAGCATTCGCAACTCACAGAGTAAACTTATACAATATGCATACATATATTTGCATAAACATATACATATATACATTTATATAAATTTGAATGCTTTATGTCGCTGATTGTGTTAATGTAATTTGACGGCAAGGCCAATCTGTGCGACAGAGCACTTACCCGATTCAAAGATCAGGATCCAGGCACCATTGATGAAGAGCAAAATGCCAAAGCAAAACTCCACCGAATTGCCAAAGGCGCGCACATAGTATAGATAATCGTCCAGTTTCTCCCAGAAGAACTGACGCCGGGCGTCTAGCAAAAAGAGCGTATAGGTGGCGAGTGAAACAAGCACCTGTCAAAGGATATAGGATTTAAGCTTTATATAATTGTAAATGTATGTGTAAATAACCTTCACGCACCTTTACTATGACCTCCACGGAGAAGGCCGTCACCGCCAGTAGCCAAGTGGAAGGAGAATGATGCGTCCATAAATAGTACAGAAGCCCGAGGGGCATTAGTATGAGAAATGCGCAGACGGACAAAGCGCGCACGTGTCGTTTGCGTGATGGGTTCCGTGCTGCACTCAGCGACATCAGAATGGGCGACACAATGTTATGGAGGAAGTGCAGGAGCGCTGTGACCAAAAGGCACAAATTGCGACACAAACGAACAAAGCGCTTGTCCGGCGCGAGCGATGTGAGACCAGTCTGCAGGGCGAGTATATAAAAGAGTACCGCCGATACAGTGCCCAGCGATTTCTCCTCGTCGTTGTCATACGTCAGCAGATACCATTGAAAGGTTCGCCCTATGTAGTGGCAAATCATCGAGATGACGCCAGTCATGCCCAGCACAGCTGTTAGGGTTTCACAGCCATCAACCAGAAGCTTCTCCATTGCGGGAAATAGCTGCAAAGGCACGTCCGACTCGGCTGTAATCAATGTATAGCCACCTTTCAAGATTCTGCAAAGAAAGTGGGTTGCACGAGAATATTACAAATAGATAGTAAAATTATCTGTATTTAAAGATATCTATATCTGAGATAACAACTTTTATCCGAACATCAGTAATCAATGTTATTTAATAACGTTTATATGTTTGTTGATACAATTTGATTCGAATGTCTCATATGCAACCAAAGTTATTCGCTTATTTATATGATAAGAAGTTATTAAATAAAATAAATAATACGATATATGTATAAAATATAATATATAATTACAATATACCAATACAATAATATATACCTATGTACTTAACATATTTTGTATTCAGCTACATACCTGAGAGCCCAAAATACTCGCAAGACATTGGGCACATTAAGTCGCTGCCACTCGTTCTCAATGAGAGCCGAAAGTCCAAAGTTGGATACAAAATTCATTGCGTATTGGTATCCATTGTATACTGTTCTGCTTGCTTCCATAGCACTTTGCATAAGCGTGATTTTGGTTAGTATAATGGGCGTGAGGCCCGCAACCACGGGAAGTTTCTCCACTATGCTCGGTGGAAGCGGCAGCATGGCAAGCAGGATTGGACTAGTAAATATGATGGGCATGGACTTCTGGAGTAGCCCGAACCGTGGGCCTAAATGAATATAGGCGAAGAGCATGCCCATAACCCATTGAGCGATCAAATGTGGCGCCAGAGACATTATAACTCCGCCCGAATCCAGCAGTCTTGTTGTGTTCAGGGATAACAGATCTTCCAATATGCACGGACTGCGCGCCATCAGCTCCAGTGCGCTCACATTGGACCAGTACGAGAGAAAGGTGAGTCCCAGCGACGTTAGAAACATGTATACCATCACCAAGTGCCGCGTCCACAACATAAAGATGCAAGTCGCACATAAGAAACCTGCAAATGCCAGACAGGGTGTAAAGTACAATCAATTCAAAACAGTTGTGGGGTGATAAGCGACGGCGGTGAACGCCCCATTAAGCACACTCACCTAATAAACAGACGACGAATTTCACTGTCGTTATGCTCAGCATATTGGCCAGAAGACTGTCGTTGGCCAGCTCATCCATTATATTGTTGAAATTATTGCTAAGCATGCCGCTGGTTTGCGCTGACTTGGATGCATTCTCTATGGAGTGTTCGAGGATCGCTTGATTTCTGTGGCTGATGGGGCTGGAGGTGCTGAATGAGTCTTCGCTGCCAATGCCAAAGAATGCCTTGATGGTGGCGAATGTGTCTGCGCTGTGGCTGGAATCGGAGTGGCTGGATTTGATAGCCTCGCTTTCCACTGTGTAGGTTTTGCTCGCGCCGAGCTGTATGGGCACTCCCATTCCAATTTTGAGTATCTCATCGATGACTATGATGGGCGGGACACGCATCATGACGTCCACTAACCCGAGCACCTGCGTCCTTATGGACATCGTTAGGCTGTAACTATAGCTGACGCGGCGTGACTTGACAAATTGCGTTTGCTATTGCTTGCGGCTCACTAATTTAATATCAACTTCTAAGCGTCGCACGCATTTGTTGTTCTTGTTAATATCGTTGTTGCTGTTGTTTTTATTATTGTTATTGCTGCTGTGCTTTTTGCGATTTTTGTGTTTTGGTTGCTCGCTCGGCTGCTTGGTTAATCGGCTGGCGTTGGCCTTCGTCTTGGATTTCGCAAAGCGAAAAGAATCGTGTGCAAGTGTTATTGGTGTGTTTTTGTAAGCTGTTGGTGTGCGTCAAAATTATATTTTATATTGGAAGGAGGGGTAGGGCGGCAATTGGTAGTGAAGGTGAACGTTGAGGGCTTACAGCGATTGCACTAATCCACATTCATTACGGCTTCCGTTGATCTGGAGCACTATTTACGATTGTTTTGTACACCAAAAGAATCGATTTAATCGCAGTAGTAAAGTTTTTTTCACAATTAAATTGAGATTTTTGTTTTTCCTTTGCTTTGCTTCTTTAGTGCAATTCGCGAGCGTTTCTTCCGATATCAGTGTTGATATCGTTTGCTTTATCGATAGTTATCCGGCGACCTGCAGCACTGCTACCACGCAATATAGCGTTGCCAGAGTGATAACCAGCTGATTGTTTCATTTGGCGCGTACGTTATCAAATTTCAAAAAATATCCTGCAAGACAATTATATATGTACTTAATCATTAACAGCAATTGATTTAAATTATATTAAATATTATTGTGTTGTCTGTTTGTACTTAAAATTTTACAATCCTTTACTATTGTAATTATGGTATGTAGGGCATACGTCGCCTACTAGATGTGTAACTTTAACGACAACATTTTGAGAAAATTCTTGTAGCTCACCAGCGATTAGTTTCCATTCGTACACACATTCCTCGAGACTCGCCATAAAAAGCACTTTTTATTATGAGCTTCGCAAAGC